ATGTAAGCCGACTGAAACACCTATGGAAGCAAATCTGAAGCTAAGGAGAGAAGAATTGGGAAGTCCTGTGAACAAAGAACAGTATCAAAGGCTAGTAGGTAAACTAATTTATTTATCACTTACTAGACCTGATATTGCTTCCCTGTCAGTATAGTGAATCAATATATGAATGATCCAGAGAAAGACATTTAGAGCTGAATGGAATTCTAAGATACTGAAAATGACACCAGGACATGGATTAATTTTTAGAAAGTGATGATAACAGTAAGAATTTTTTCGGATTCAAGCTGGGCAGGTGAATTAACGGATAGAAGATCTACAACTGGTTATTGTTCATTTGTTTGGGGAAATCTGGTTACTTGGAGAAGCAAAAAACAGGCGGTGGTGTCTCGAAGTAGTGCAGAAGTAGAATTTAGAGCATGGCACTTGAATTTACGAAGGAATTTGGCTTCAAAATGTTAACTGAGCTGGGGTTATGTGCCAACAAATGGTTTGAACTTCAAAGTGACAGTAAATCTGCAATAAGTATTGCAAAGAATCCAGTTCATCATGACCGAACGAAACATGTGGAGATTGACAGACATTTCATCTCTGAAAAGGTGAATGGTGGAACGGTGAAGCTCATTTATGTTTCAACGAAGAATCAGTTAGCAGATATTCTCACCAAAGCACTTCCAAGAATTACCTTTGATGATATTATATCCAAGTTGGGTCTTTTCAACATTTACTCCCAAACTTGAGGGGGAGTGTAGGTTATGCAATAGATAAGTTAGTATTTTAATATAACACTAACTCTTAGAAAGTTAGATAGATAAGGATAACTACTAAGTAGTTTACTTCTAATAGAAAACTTACTCCTAACTTTACCTATAAAAAGATGTATTTTCACCATTCACAATATATAATAAAAAGAGTTCATTTTCTTCTCCACTATGTTGTTTACTCTTTATCAACATCTATCTCGGATCATAATGCAATAACTTTGGAAAGTGGGGAAGATAATTGGGGCAAGAGACCTTTTAGGCTATTTAGCTATCTAATGGCAGAGGATGGTTTTGAGGAGAAGGTTGTTGAGTCTATTAAGGAGTTCAAGAAGAAAAAGAAAAGAGCTAGTATTTTTGCATTCTTAGGAATACAAAAGTTGCTATTAAGAGCTGGTTTGGGAATAGGAATCATTATCCACGTGTTGATATTTCTATTCTGGAAGACAAAATTCACCAGCTGGAAAACAGGATTCAGCAAAACCAAATTTCCAATGCCTATGACAGTCTAGCAGAGTTGAGGTTATTGAGAAATGACATGTGGAAACTTTACAGAATTGAGGAGCAATTCTGGTTCCAAAATTCAAGAAAGAAGCGGGTTAAAGATTGTGACCGGAATTCTAAATTTTTTCACTTGTGCTACCATTAGGAGAAGTATGAATTCTCTACATGCTATTAATGTTGGAGGTGAAACTATCCAGGATCCTGTTCTTATTAAGTCTACTGTCAGAGAGCATTTTTTCAAAGCTTTTAACACCAGATCTACTCTGGAAGTTGAGGATTTTAAGTTGAATTTCTCAAGAATTTCTATGGTGCAGAGTCTTATGTTGGAAAAGGAGTTTACGGAAGATGAGATTTGGGAAACTCTAAACTCATGTGATAATAACAAAGCTCCTGGGCCGGATGGGTTGAATATGGGATTTTTGAAAAAAAATTGGTCTTCCTTGAAAGGTGATATTCTGAATTTTTTCCATAATTTTTTCTTGGAAAAGGATTGGGAGCATGTTCTAATATTGGGGGTTTATATGATTTCAGACCTATTAGTCTAGTAGGTGAGATGTATAAAATTCTTTCAAAGTGTCTTGCGAGAAGGCTGAGATGTTGCATCGATGATATTATCAGTGATTCGCAATTTGCTTTCATTCCAGGTAGAAAAATTTTGGATTGTTCTTTTATTGCTAATGAAGGAATTGACTTGTGGAGGAAGAAAGGATTGAAGGGTTGTGTATTGAAGGTGGATTTCAAGAAGGCTTATGATACGGTAGATTGGGATATTCTCTTTAAAATAATGGCTAAAATGGGGTTCGGATCAAAATGGTGTTGTTGGATTCGGAAATGTGTTACAACTGCTTCGGTGTCAGTGCTAGTTAATGGTGTTCCTACTGATGAATTTCCTATGGCTAGAGGTCTTAGACAGGGATGTTCCTTATCCCCGTTGCTATTTAATTTCGTTAGCGGGCTTCTTAATTTACTGCTACTTAAGGCAGTATCTTCGGGTCTGTTCTGTGGTCTGGTTGTTGGCAAAGACGACGCTTCTCTTAATTTATCCCATCTGCAATTCGCAGATGATCTCATCATTTTCTGTTCTACATCCAAGACACAAATTCTAAATGTTAAAAGGGTTCTACGGGTTTTTGAAATAATGTCAGGCCTTAAACTAAATCTCACTAAAAGTAAATTATTTGGTATCAATATTAGTGAGGAAGAGGTAATGCAGTGGGCTAATTCTATTGGTTGTGCAGTAGGTCAGTTTCCTTCAGAATATTTGGGATTGCCGCTTGGTGCGAAGAGGAATTCTATAGTGTTATGGGATCCGGTTGTGCAGAAATTCTATAAGAAGCTAGCCGGATGGAAGGCGAGGACTCTATTAATGGCAGGGAGATTGGTTTTATTGAAGGCTATTTTGTGTTCGTTACCCACCTATTTCATGTCCCTCTTCAAAATTCCATCTTCCGTGATTGTTAAACTAAATTCCATCATGGCCAGATTTTTATGGGGAAGGGTAGAGGTAAAAAAAATCCACTGGGTAAATTGGTCGACAGTGTGTTCTGGAAAAAATGCTGGTGGCCTTGGTGTTCTGGATCTTAATTATATGAATAGAGCCCTCCTAGGAAAATGGTCTTGGAGATTTCCTAATGATAGGAAAACATTGTGGAAGAAGGTAATTTGCAGTAAGTACAATATGGATCCAAGGTTGCTTATGTTCAAGAAAAAACTTCTTGCACATTCTTCTTGGATTTGGAAGTCAGTAGTCCAAAATCATTTCAAACAGGATTAGTTTGGAGCTAAGTTTAGAAGTTTGTTTAAAGTTCGTTTGGGTAATGGAGACAGGATCAGTTTTTGGTTCGATAACTGGGTGCTTGATTCACCTCTTAAAGTGGTTTTTCTGAGATTGTTTGCTCTCGCTTTAAACAAAAATGGGAAGCTCAATGAGTTTGGAGAGTTTCGGTCTTCACTTTGGTCTTGGCATGTTAATATGAGAAGGAATTTGAGTGACTGGGAAATGGTTCAGTTTTGTGATTTAATGGCTTTAATTCAAAACATCATTATGTCCCATGAATTATCTGATGGGTTGGTACAGAGAGGGAATGGGGATGGAATTTATTCTGTAAATTCGAGTGTGAAGTCATGCTGTCCTGTTTCGACAGCAAACTCCTTTTGGATGAAAAACATTTGGAGGGGCTTGGTGCCTCCTAAAGTGGAGGTATTTATGTGGCAGGTGGTGTATCAAAGATTGCCAGTAAAACAAGAACTACAAAGGAGAGGAGTTACAGCTATTGAAGATGTTACATGTCCTCTATGTAAAAAGGAGGTTGAGTCTTCATCACATTTATTTTTTACTTGCCTTGTGGCATGGACCCTATGGAATAAATTTCTGAAATTTTGGGGAGTTTGTTCGGTTTTGCAAGCCAACGCACAATGCCTCATGTTAGCTTGGGAAGCTATGGTGCCTAATTCTAAAATTTGGTCCTTTATTCCGGTAGTGGTTCTTTGGACTATTTGGAAATTTAGGAATGACATTGTGTTTAATGGGGGAAGGTTAGATCAGATTGATCTATTTTTAACGGCAAGATGTAGGCTGGCTACTTGGTTCTTAGCTAACTCCAATTAGGTGTCTATTCTAAAGGACTCTCTCATTAGTGATCCATCTCTTGGGGATTTTTGCTCGAATTCAAGATTTTCTATCATCAAAACTGTGTCTTGGTCTCCTCCTCTAAATGGCTTTATTAAACTGAACGTGGATGCAGCAGCAAATGGAGATTGGAGGAAAAGTGGTGTAGAGGGCATTCTTAGAATGGAGGATGGCTTGGTGATGGGTTCTTTCCAAGAGGCTGCTGGTCTAGGTCCTCCTTTGTTGATTGAACTTATGGCAATTAAGATGGGATTAATCTTCTTTGGTTCAATTCATTAGCGGTTTAAGGAACGTTTAATCGTGGAAACAGACAGTAAGCTAGCAGTGGAGTGGGTCAAGAATTACGATCGATGTCCTTATGTCTACTTAGACTTAGTGAAAGACATTGTTACTATGTTGACAGATTTGAATGGAACTATTAGATGGGTTGCTAGAACAGCCAATGTAGAGGCTGATAGCTTAGCTAAGGCTGGTATTAGCTAGTTCACTGTTCTGATTAGGATATTTTAGTCTTTGGGTTGGTTATTGTAAAGGGAGTGTTAATGTTGGTTGTTAAACATTATTTATCTTTTGGTTATTAATGAATCCTAAGGCACTCTTTTCCTCCTTCCGCTGATTAAGGAGCACTTTCTGCTCCATTAATCATGAAGGGGGTTTTTAACGAGACCTGCTTTCTTATCAAAAAAAAGATGGTGAAGGAGAGAAACAGAGGCGGAATTATAAAAGATTTACCTGAGCGTTCTCTATCACTCCCCACACATCCACTCCTTATCTAATGCCCTTTCCAACCAATTGTAATATAACTGTAACCAACTACATGCTTCGAATTTGCATGTACTGGAACAAAAGTCTACTTACATGACAGGTTATAGAAAATGGAACGAATCGGGTATATCTCATAACAGAAACAAGAACCTATTGCAAAGATGATCTCATTTAGAGGGCTGACCTTGTAACCTGACTACAAGCCCATATAGCTTTTTGCTGTTCCAAAGAACAGAAACCAATTCGGTCTAGGGACACATTTTTAAGTAACCACTACCTTCCTATGCAAACAGCATAGCACAGCAAAACCTGAATTCATAACATAAGACATTTTATCATACCCAAGCTTCCATCCACTGTGGCCCTTCAGCTCCATCCAGGGCACAACCAGCTAAAGTGCCATCAATCAGAAGCTGCTTCAATGCACAATCATCCAAGAGCTGACTGCTACCAGTATTCACAAGAAAAGCCCCTAAAGGCAAGTATCCCAAAAACAAACGAAGTCAAACAAAAGAAAAGAGAAGCAATAATAAATTTTTAAAACAAAAAATGAAAGCAAATGTACCAGGTTTTATATGCTGCAAACATTCGGCATTGATAATCTGAATGGTTTCATTTGTTAAAGCGCAATGCAGAGATATAAGGTCACTTGCAGCTAGTAAATCATTAAGTGTATCCATTCTACGGACAGCTGGTGGGAATGTTACAGAATGCCTACTTACTTTTCCATTCTCCTGTGAAAACAATATTTAGAGGAGCTTTTATTCAGATGGAAAATCAATCTAACAGAATGTCAAGCAAAAGATAAATTGCTAACTAATAAAATCCAAAAGGTGTGCCTTTCAATTAACAGACCTCGTACACAACATAAGACATGCATATATACAACTAAAAACATTATTGAAGATCGGTTAGCAATAGATCCTGCTTTCAGTTTACCTAATAAGATACAACAGAATAACATGTTAGAAGAGACTGCAACTTTAAGATCTTTACATCCAGCTCAAAATGCCTATAGGAATTGGCAATGCCGCTAAACTTTGCTTCACTCTTTCATAGTTCAATAAAAAAATTGCTTAAGCTATTTGCGACAGTGTTCATTTTGAGATGTACTCCGATTACAAATTCTGGAACACTTATCACAAAGTTTCAACCCAAAGTAGATAAGAGAGTAAGTTATTATTAGTGCTTCCTAAATTTCATAAACAATCAAGAACTGAAATGCTAAGTTTAATTTAAATTTAAATTGGTGAAGGAAAAAAGAGGTAAATTTTAAGTAGCAATGTAACAGAATAAAAGAAAGCTAAGAGGTAGAGTGCAGTCGAAACTCAGCTAATGGACCATAAATACTGGAAATGAGACTATGTTTTACCTCCACAATATCATAATAAAGCACACTCATTTTGAAGGCTAAGATTCTGGAGGCCAGAGATCGGGCCGAAGCAGATCTACCAACAATTCCCAACACTAGTCCTCGGCACCTCCTCATTCCCCGACAAAGCGGCTGAACTGATCCAAGCCAACCGGAAGCCGAGAGAGAGTGGCGAGAGAGCAAGTGCGTGCGACGGAGCAATCCCAGAAACAGCGCCATGATAGTGTCCGCGATCTCCTCAGCTCGAGAGACATCAACATGTACGAGGCGTAGCCCGAGATCAGCGGCTAAGGCGGAGTCGACGGCGCGGTCAGAGGAGCCGAGGCAGAGGATGAGCTGGTAAGGGCTGAGGCGACGCTGTACAGCTCGAGGGAGGTAGGAAAGGGAATGGAGGAGAACGGCGGCGGCGGCCTCGATCTTGCCATCGCCTAAGCTGCTGAGAGGGACGTGGTGGACCAGAGCGACGCCGGCTAAGGATTCTTGTTCGAGGGCGCAATCTTCGACGCAGTTGAGGGAAACGACCAGAGGGAGAGGCGCGGGGTTGCCCCGGTGACGCATTCCGGAAGTGGATCTGAGCATGGACGACGTCGTAGCGGAGGAGGTGATGTCCATCCTATTGTGATTTTGGGGATTTTGGGAGTATGACTTGTCTGTCTCTTAATTTCATTTCATTTATTATGATTATGACTTTTACTTTACCTGTAAATAGTTGAAGGGAGGGGTAAGCAAAACTCCCTCAATTCAAAAAATCTCGATTGGTTCGATTCGAAAGAGTTTTTAAATTATTTTTAAATTATAATTTCATAAATTCGACTATTTGAAAAATTTTAAATTCAAATTGAATTATAAAATATAATTTAAATAATTCAATTTTTTTAATAATTAGTCTAGTCCCTTAACTCTATATGATATATATAAAAATTATTTAAATTAGAATAAAATAATATTATAATATTATAAATATTTATGATTAAATTTAAACAAAAACTTAAAAATCTTACTCGAATTTTATAAACTCGACTCGATTAAAAAAAATTAAAACAACTCCAAATTATAAAAACAAGATTCGTCAATTCGAATAATTTAAAAGACTTTAACTCGACTCGACTAGATTCAACACGGGCTGGGCTATGAATTGTGACATTACATTTAGTCATGTCCCTTGGTGGATTATTATGTTTGGACCCCCCCGATTTCTGTCATCATTCTTGGGTTCTGCTTTATTTCTCCTTGGGGTTTCTGAATCTTTGAATCTAAACAATATTCAAATTTAAATTTGATCAACCACAATCGATATTGATCATCTATCTATCAACAACAACAACAACCAATATCGATAGTTTTTTCAGCAACACCAATAAATAATTATCAAAACTAATGTCATCTTTGTTATTTGAAATATATTTTGATCAACATCACATAATACTTTTTAATTGACTGAAAATATAAGGTGATACGTTTTGATACGTGTCACGTATTATTTAACACTATAAAAGTGAACTAGTTAACAAAATAAGACTAAGTATTATTCAAGTATCAAAGAAAAATTATATGGTTCAAGAGTTATATTTGTACGTCAAAGCTAAAAGGAAATACTTCATATTATGTTCAAATTTGAAATTTAGTCCATACAATTCAATTTAACACAATTAATCCAAGAATTGCTGAAAGTTTTATACAAAACATAGACCTTTTATATTACCTACAATGACAAGCAGCAAATGATCTTCCCACAGGCCACCCACCAAATCAAAATTTCTGCAGGATATAGATAACCTAGATACGTGTTTCGCGGACGATAATTGAAAGCCTCACACCAAACCAACTGCTGAACAAGTCCATAAACAGCAGCAAGCTCAAGGTATACTTAAAAAAGCAATACATTTACAATCCATAGTCTAGGTATATATACTATAGCTGTTAGCAGATTCTCCAGCAATTTCATATCTGAAACAAGCTAAGCAAATAAGTTCCACCAATTTACCAGAACCCATCAGAACCTCACATTTATAAATTTTTAGTTGCCACCGTGAAGCTTTTCTTTAGTTTCTGGCCTGCAAACTTGATATCTTCCAGACTGCTATCAAAATCCTGGAATATATCCTTTTCCTGATATTCCGACTTAGAAAAACCTCCTCCTGATATTCCGGGTAGTTACTTGATATGATCGCATTAGCAGTCCAACTCCGACTCCAACCCCAAGGCACACTCCGAGGCCAATTCCAACACCAACTCTAACACCAGCATTAAACCATGAAAGTTGGCCATCCTCACCAGCATACATTTCTTCAGCATAGTAACCATGCCCAATTTTCCCATCAGAATCATAGTTTTCAACTTCAGCATCTATAACCTGTAACATGACCACAATGATTATTCTACTTTTTAGTATAAAAAAAAGTAATAACAAGACATCCAATTATAAACAAATTGACTTGCAAGAAAAAAATAGAAGCTTATGCGAATTTTCTTGAACACACTAAACAAGCACATTTCATTATTCCCATTGTTATTTACAGAGCTGTGTCGTCATGACAGGTAACAATTGTTCTTATGCCATCAGAACTTGATAAGTTCATATTTTCACCCTAAAAGTGAGTCCAGGAAACAAATTTGGATGGGGAAGTACAGAAATCAGAAGAAACTATTCCTGCAGAGCTCGACAAGATCATATTTTCACCCTAGAATTTGAACTCAAAACAGCTGACAATACCCAAAATATTATGGAGTTGCAAATGAAGGATCCAGTCATCATAACAACAACAAAGAAAACAGAAACCCCTTACCGGAAAACAAGCAGAACATAGTTACACCCCTACAAGTATATGCATACATATATACCTGGTGCCTACCATATATTATGGAGATAGTCTTTCCATCATATATGGGCAACACAAACATGGCATTTCAACGAATCGAATTATAATCAATAGATGATCTTTGTACGCTAAGACCAGAAGTAACCTTTTTTAAACAATCAACACTTCTCATGCAATGCCAATATTCTTCTACCACGCTTGAATCTACATCTACATTATGAGTAGCAATCAAATTTTAAAACTTTGACATTATAACCAATTATAATTTACCTTCAATTTCCGCTGTCTAATCAGCCCATTGCCACCCTTATCATCCCTTTTCCCGAGCTCCTCGTCCTCAGGAATTGCATCCAGCATCCATTTAAGTCTGGGCACGCCTTTCTTCTTAGGGCTCACAAGTATATTCTTGGTCAATATCACAGGCGTACCAGCACAACAGCCCGCGATAAAAACTTCAATCCCCGGCGCCGAAACACCCATCTTGGGATGAAAAAAAGCCGAATTCCCAGGCTCCGTAGCAACTGCCGCCAGGTAACAGTCCATGCTCCACTCTCCTTCCATCCTTTCCAACGATCCACACAACAGCACCTTCTTTTCATCCTCATACGCCTCGAATTCGAAACCTCCCGTGACGCGGACGCTATCGGTGCTCAAATAAGTGACCTCGGACGCTTCCCGGTTGAGACGATCGCGACGAAGGGTAAGGACGGCGGAATCAGAGGCTGGGAAACGAGAGCCATTGATTTCGAGAGAGACACCGATCTCGCGTCGGAGGTGGAAGAGGGTGAGGTGGTCGGGGACGCTGTCGATGACACACGGCGCGATCCGAACGTAGAAGAGACGGATTTCGAGCCATACCGAGGAACGATTTATGAGATCGTAGGGATTCGAAGGTTTCTGAGCTAGAATTGATGAAAGATCATGCTGTTGATGATCCATGGCATAAAATTTAGAGAGGAGAAAGCGGGTGGGAAATGATTGGGGATATCAAAAGTGAGGAAATTTGGGGATAACCATGAATAAACAAACGAAAAGGAAACGAGATACGGTCGGGTAAATTTAGGGTTTGGGAAGAGAAGAAAACGGATTTTTTTTTCTATTTTAATTTTATTTGGAGGATTTGTTGTGAATGTGAAGTTAATAATTTGGCAATGGCAACTGGCAACTGGCAACGGCCGAGAGCAAAAGAAGGAACCGAGTCAAAGAGATGAGCCTCTCTGCGGTTCTACCTTCGGGAAGCTTAGACGTAGAGAAAAATAGGTTGAAGACACGTGTGTTTCAGATGTTTCTCATCGGGGACATGTGAAAAAATTGGAATCTAGTAAAATATTATCTTAAAGGCTAAATTACTCCGGGAGTTATCAATCTAATAAAAGATCATTTTAAACAGGGTAAATTACAATATTATTCACTCAACTTTACTCTCTCTCATATTTTATTTATTATACTTCTAAATTTTTTAATTTACACACTAAACTTTATACATCAAATTTTTTATCACTCCACCCTTTTTCCCCAACTCCGTGATTATATGGCATTTCTTATTAGTTTTAATTAATTAATATTATTTTATATATTTTATTATCATCGTTTTCCGCTCACATATAGTTTCTCATTTCCCTTCTCCTTTCATTTTTTCTTTGTTGTCGCCTGAAAAACAATATAGTGAACTATGGGTAGGCCGGTAAACGAACCGAACGCACACGAACAGAGGTATGTTCATGTTCGTTCATTTAATAAATAAACGAACATAAACGAACACGAACATAAACGAACAAATTTTTTTTTGTTCATGTTCGTTTATTAAAGAATATAACTTGTTCATGTTCGTTCATTTAATAAATAAACGAACATAAACGAACATGAACATAAACGAACATGAATATAAATGAACACGAACATAAACGTTGGATACCCCACCTTCCATTGTTCTTTCATGAAAAATAGTTCACAATGCAAATCAACCAAATCTACAGTGATAAATAGCATAAGAGCTGATTAGCAGTGATGAAATGTTTAAAGATATCAAATATTTCGATCGATCTTTTAAAGATAATAAATGATTCACACGTCTTTAATTTAACGCTACAACATTTATCTTAGTGGTCCATGGTTAAATATGGACAATCATTTTCCACTACTTTATTCTAATAAATTCGCCGGGCTAAAAATTTTGTGACATTAATATCAGACTTTAGTGAGGTTTGTTAATAATGGTCTTTTCCGTTGGCAGAGTAGAAAATTTAACTGCATGAAGATTTCGAACGGTACAAATTGGACTACAAGGCAATAACATAGATCTGAAATCCCTTCGATGCTATATATAGTAACTGATATTATTGCTAAACTACCATTCAAAATTTTAACGTACCTAAAGTCTATTCCACAACTAAAGGTCACACAAGAACTATGAAAACAAAAGTTCATTGTCAAAATGTATTTTCTACTTATTAATGGGTTCTTCCTGGAAAACCCATTACTTCCGCTATTACACTTTTTTTCAAAATTTGCATAGAAACATTTGTTTTGTTTTCTGGCAAATTCTATATATTTTTCTCTTTACTGATACTCATATACTTCCGATTGTTACCTTTATTTTCCCATCTATTTCTAGAAAGAAGTATGATGTTTTCTTGAGTTTTAGATGTGAAGATACCCGCAATAACTTTACATATCAACTATTAAGCCAAATAAAACAGAGAAAGAGATGAAAACAGACCTGTAAAACTTCAGATTGCACTATAATATAACTTATTTTGAAGTTTTCAACGATCGTCTCCACTCTCCAGTGAACACTAGGGTTTGGGAAAAAAGGGGGAAATGAATATAGGTGCGAGGTGCCTCAAGGTTAAATTATTGGATTTAATCTCCAAATAAAATTGGGTTAATTATGGAGTTAGTCATCAGAATATCAGATTAATTAATATATTTAAGATACTTACAAATTGGTCACCAAAATTGATTTAAGAAGATTGGGTTAAACATAAATGAATGAACATAAACGAACATAACCGAACGAACATAAACGAACATAACCGTACGAACATAACCGAACGTTCACGAACGTAAATGAACGAACGAGACCTATGTTCATGTTCGTTCATTTAATTAAACGAACACAAAATCTTGTTCATGTTTGTTCATTTAATAAATAAACGCACATAAACGAACTTCCCGCCGCACGGTTCACGAACGGTTCGCTGAACGTTCAGTTCATTTACAGGCCTAACTATGGGTGTACGTTACCCTTTCAAATGACTTGATGATTAGGTATTAAACCATCTTTCCATCAAAGTTGGGTAAACTACTCAAATGATCACAAATGTTTAGGTAAGTTTTTGTTTTCACCACTGATGTTTCAAAAGTCACAAATCATTCACTAACATTGTCGTTTGTTACAAATTGGTCCCTCGACGTTAACAACTGTTAATAGGCGTGACAGAAATCATACGTGGGCCGTTAGATACTTATATGGATGGTATAATTACATAAATAGTCTATGTTATTTATATATTCTTTCAATTTAATCCTAATTTTAATAAATTAAAATAAATTTACCTACAAATATAAAATAAATTAAATAAAATTACCTACAAATAATCCATGTTATTTATATATTTAAATACTTTAAATATATTTATTTTAATGTTTTAAATTTGAGTAATACTTTATTAAATTATACTTTATAAATTTACTTGGATGGTATAATTACACAAATATTTCATGTTATTTATATATTTAAATACTTTAAATATCTTTATTTTAATGTTTTCAATTTGATCCTAATTTTAATAAATTAAAATAAATATTAAAATATATAGTAAAAATACTTTAAATTATAAAAAATTAAAAGAGAGAAGAGATATCTATAAATATTTAAAAAAAAATATATTCACTAAACTAATCTTTAGCTTAAACCAATCCATTACTTTCATTTCCATTGTTGTGATTCCATTCATCCATTCATCCCTTCATATCTTTATTCGTATATTTATTTTTGCTATTATATTTTTATTGCTTTGTTCCAAACATCACTTACACAATTATGTTATTTTACTTAGTGCTATAGCAATTCTTTGAGTAATACTAGCCTATGTGGATACAATACTCGATGCATTAATTTGTATCCACTTTTATTACTTGATACAATAGTGTATGCTTGCACTTTGCTATTACAATATTTGAAGCATCAAGTTTTTGGCTTCGTTGCTGGGGACTAGTGTAACATCCTCAATACCGGATTATTGATTAAATTGTAAAATTTCATAATTTGGTGACTAAAGTAAAATAATTGAATAGTATAAGGGCTTATATGAGAAATGTTATGTAGGATCAAATTTCAAAGAATGAGGAATAGAAGGACAAAATGGTCTTTTTGATAATAAAATAATTAAATTGAAGAAGGGTTATATATTAGCCAAACGTAGAAGTGAATGAAGCAAAAATAAGGTTTCCAGAGTTCTCTACTCCTCTTTTTTTCTTTGTACGTGAAGGCCTAAAATCAAAGAATGTAATCCTGTTCCGGAACAATCAAAGAATTAGGATCAAGTCAAAGCAAACAAGGCTAAGGTGAGTGTATATCCTAGATAGAATTGTATCGAGATAAGATTTGCGATGAGTCTATCTCTTATAGTTGAATTGATGATTTCATATTCATGCACATGCATACATATATATGTATTAATGTTATAGTGATTTCATGCATAATTCATTTATGCTTTAATATGATATTATATGAATGAATGCCATTATAAGAGAATCAATACAAGTATGTGAAATAATGGAAGTGATCATATGTGTGCATATGAAGTGACTTATGTGTTTACGTGGACAGTGATAAAAGAGATATAAAAATGCGAAATGTATCTATAGTTAATCCCATGTTATTTAATATGAGAGATGTAGGTATAATTGGCATGCCAAGAGTCGAGGGATTATCAGTGGTCATTCGGGACATAGTGGTCCTTCGGGACATAGTGGTCATTCGGGACAAATATTCAGTGCCCCTAGTGGAATTTTATTCGAGCTGTGGTGACAATATTGTGCACAACCTCAGTGTACTCACGTACATTCTGTTCTCAATAATATACATGGGCATCCAAAGATAAATTGAATGAAAATCTCTTATAAATTTAAATGATCATTCGTGCATATCCTATTTCTATATGACATAGTGTGATATCTACATGTGCATTTCAATGTCATAATGAATTGATAGTAGTACATATTCATAGTTTTATTATTATGTATTCAATTTATGCCTCACTAAGTCTGTGACTTAGCATGTAAGTGATTTACACGTAGGTACCAAGAATCAAGAAGAGCAGAAATAAGAGTGGCAAGGACATCATCACTACTAGAAGATCATATCAGAAGTAACTGATAAAGTATGCATTTTTTTGTGTATAGTGTGTTGGCATGTAAGAAATGTGTTAGTTACGAATGCTCTGATCGATTTTATATTGTTTTGGTCAACTTATGTAAAGTAACAACTTTTATTTTAATGGAAGTTTAAAATTTATTTGATTTTCTTTAAGAGTTAAAGTTTGAAAAGTCAATGTTACACTTCAGACTCGTATCTGGGTTATGATACGGGTTGAGGTGTTATATTTAATGGTATCAGAGCTACGGTTTAGTCGATTCTCGGCATAAACTGAAGTCTAAAGAGTCTTATAATGTATAAATGCCAACAAAATAGTGAAAGCTTCTGATCAGATAAAATAGTAAGTATGTTGTTTTGCTAATAGAACTATATGGTTGTATTTTATTAGATGTCCGAACATGATAGCTCTAGAAGTGAAGAAGGAGACGATAAGCCCACTGAAAGCAGTAATTCACCTGCCCTAGCCAGGCAGAGTGAAGAACAGACACCCTCTTGAGTGCCTGTGAGTGATCAAAATGTGTTCTTTAGAACATTGGACGCGGTATTAGCGCGTTCCAACCTCTTGCTACTTCAACTCCAAGAATGAATATTGCAAAGGAGTTGAAGGGTTTAGAAACTCTAGAGTTTAGAGGTGAAGTCGAAGAAGATCATGTTGCTGCGGACCTTTGGCTTAATGATGTGAAAATTATGCTGGAGGGACTTCATTATTCCGATGCTGAGAAGCTCGATGGAGTGTTTTCCTTTCTTAGAGGGCAAGCAAGGATTTGGCGAACCAA